AATTAGGGGAAAAAAGTTTCAATAAATGAAACAAGCAGGCTGGGCGCAGTGGCTCACGCCTGCAATTCCAGCACTTTGGGAGGCCAAGGAGGGAGGGTCACTTGATTCCAGGAGTTCGAGACCAGCCTGGGCAACATGGTGAAATCCTATCTCTACAAAAAAACACAAAAAATTAGCAAGGCATGGTGTTGCACACCTGTAGTCCCAGCAACTTGGAAGGCTGAGGTGGGAGGATCACTTGAGGCTGGGAAGTCGAGGCTGCAGTGAGCCGTGATCATGACATTGTACTCTAACTTAGGTGACAGAGTGACACCCTATCTCAAATTACAGATAAATAAAAACAAAGCAACAAACAGTAAAAATATACTTCAGTTCTGTATTATGATCTATTAAGTAACAGAGACATGCAGATAGATGTGAAGGAAGAAAAAAAGTCAGCACAAGTAACAGGAAAAAAAAAAAGAGGTAAAGAACTGTGCGGCAAAAAGAATTCTGGAGGGAGGGATGAACAAGATACACAACAATAAACAAACCTAACCAGAGCAAAGCCAGACTCAGAGGAAAACAAAGACTTGTAGGAGGAGCGCAATGCCTTCGACTTTCTTTTTCTTTTTTTTTTAATCAGTGTTGACCAGGTTGGCCTCGAACGTGTAGCCTCGCCTCCTCGAGTCCCAGGGCAACCCGCCTGAGCCACAGCGGCTCCCAAAGCCTTCAACTTCCATGGAATAAAGAAAGATCATTCATCTCATGACTTTTAAATACTGCTCCTAAGGATTCTTTTTCACTCACATTGCCATTCCTTCTAGAAAAGACTCCAAACCAGGAGAAATTCAGCCTGTGTACCAAGTGTAGTTTGTGGGCCTGGTTTCCCTATTTCCTTGTTAGGCAAATGAAAAACCACTAAATAGCCTCATGTCACTAGGGTTTTTCTGTTCCCTGCATGTTTCAAATGTTTCAGCAAATTCCCAGATTACAGATTATAAAATTAAAAGGTCTTCAAAGTAAGTCTCCGTTCTCATCACACTGGGACGTGTTGGCATACCTATCTGTTGTACATTTCACTGCTTGGGGGCATAATTAAACCAGCCTTTACTCATACACTGACATCTTTCATAGAACCAAAACCGAGGAACTCGATCATTTCTAAATTTCGCTACCTATGACTATTCTCCCCAAAAGAATAATTTCCTGCCTGGCATGGTGGCTTACACCTGTAATCCCAGCACTTTGGGAGGTTGAGGTAGGAGGATGACTTGAGCCCAGGAGTTTAAGACCAGACTAGGCAACATAGGGAGACCCCATCTGTACAAAAGAATTAAAAAATTAGCCAGGCAGGTATGGTGGTGCGTGCCTGTAGTCCCAGCTCCCCACCTCTGATGGGCAGGTTAGGGAGCTGAGGCAGGAGGATCACTTGAGCCTGGCAGGTCAAGGGTGCAGTGAACTGTGATAGCACCACTGCACTCCAGAGCCTGGGTGACAGATGAGACCCTGCCTTAAAAAAAAAAAAAAAAAATTCCTTCATATTTTAAAAATTTAAAAGAGGCTTAACACCCTTTTACTTCAATATATAGACATGCGTACTTTTCCCATTGTATAAAAAGACCAATTACCTAAAATTTACAGTTCTTGGATAATTTTTTACATTTTATTTCCCAGTAAAACTGTACTAAAATCTAAGTTCTTTTTCCTGAAGACAAGGCTATATGGTTTTTATTGTGTAACCTTAATTAAAAACACCGAAAGTTAAGTTGATATGGCTTTTGACAACATTTTAATAAACATGATTATTCCCCAAAACAAACAATGGTTGTCAGTCCCACAGGCCATTCCAAGCACTGTAACTTTTCATTTAAAGTTACTTATTTGGGGAAAAATATGAATGCTTTTCCTAAGCATAATAGCTTTTTAAAAAAGTATGAGAATGCATTCATTTACCATATGACAATCTAATCATAAACTTCCTCATGTGCATCATAAAAGACATTATGTTTCCCTCATCAAAATCTCCAAAATTACTCAACATAATATACTGAAGACAATAACCTAGAAATAAACTTTCATCCAGAAGTTGAGTTTTTTGTTCTTTACAAAAAGTATTTTTCTAATTAGCCATAAGTGTTAGGATTCCTTGATGTAGACAATGAATAGCTCCTAAGGAATATATATTTTTCTCAATTACTATAGTAATAAAATTGCCAATAAACTCAAATGTACTGCCTAAATTTCTTTCTTTTTTTTGAGATGGAGTCTTGCTCCGTTGCCCAGGCTGGAATGCGGTGGCATGATCTCCACTCACTGCAACTTCTGCCTCCTGAGTTCAAGCAATTCTCCTGTTTCAGCCTTTTGTTTTGTTTTGTTTTGTTTCGAGATAGAGTCTGGCTCTGTCTCCCAGGCTGGAGTGCAGTGGCATGATCCCGTCTCACTGCAAGGCCCGCCTCCGGGGTTCACGTCATTCTCCTGCCTCAGCCTCCCTAGTAGCTGGGACTACAGGCGCCCACCACTATGCCCGGCTTATTTTTTGTATTTTTAGTAGAGACGGGGTTTCACCATTCACAGCATGGTCTCGATCTCCTGACCTTGTGATCCACCCGCCTCGGCCTCCCAAAGTGCTGGGATTACAGGCATGAGCCACTGTGCCTGGCCTGTTTCAGCCTTTTGAGTAGCTGGGACTAGAGGCGCATGCCACCACATCTGGCTAATTTTTGTATTCTTAGTAGAGACCGGGTTTCACCATGTTGGTCAAGCTGGTCTCGAACTCCTGACCTCAGGTGATCCACCTGCTTGGCCTCCCAAACTGCTGGGATTACAGGGGTGAGCCACTGCACCCACCCTGTAAGTTTTTAATTTAGAGCATACAACTGTTTTAAAATCATCTTGTCTCATAAGCTAGATTATAAAATATTTAAGAGACTTATTAATAAATTTTTAAAAGGCCCATAATGGTTCCAAAAATGTAGGTGGAAAACTCATATTGAAAAGGCACCAAGTGACATTTCCTGCAGACTTTACCTAAAAACCACTGTGGCGTTTCTAAACTGAACAGGCTCTCTCAGTCTCACTGCTGAAACCAACAGAACAATGACAACCTAGAAGTGTTCAGACTCACGGGTCTCTCTAGGCCTTGACTAGCCAGGTGTTGGCACAGCCTGTGCAGCCCCAGTACACAAACACTGACACTCTCTGTGCTTCTCCAGCAAGGGTCTCTATTGTCGGAGTCTGAGCTCTCTAGAAAAGCAATTTCTCCCAGCAGAAGGAAAACCAGAGAGTTAATCTCCTGTACAATAACTGAGGCGGCAATTCTGACCTTACTCAGGACTGTGGAACTGATGGGGGGAAAAAAAAATGGTTAAAAACTTCTAGGGCTGGGTGGAACAACAGGCTGATTTCAATTCTGTTACATAGGCATGGAAATCAGGACATTCTGGAAAAACATGTAATTTCCCATGTAATGTCTTTGCTTTCCATTTCATCTACATTATTCTCTTCCACTCTCCTACTCCCCTCCCAGCAAGGCTGAGAAAACATTCAGGATTGTTTCTTTGGGGAGGAGAAACATAAATTTGCCCATTATCAGCTTAAGAAATGAAGAAAATTATCAACCAGCTTTTCAATCACACCAGCCTCTGCCTTCTGCTGTCAGACATGATGTGCTCATCGGGACAGAGGTTTCTTGTCTTTATTTTAATTCTGGAAATTTTTTGTTTTACAAACTTGTCCAACCCTAAGAACCACCAATGAGGCTGAGTAGAAATTCAGATTCTCTGGTTCCTTCCAAACTTAATCAGCATCTTCAGGGGGAAGGAGCTAAGAGTATTTTTTTAGTGAGCATCCAAGTAATTCTCACGATGTGATAAATTTAAGAAAGACTGATCTTGGGACCATGTTCACCTTTAAAAAAAAAAAATCCATTCCTCTCTTTCCTTTATGAGTCCTTAGAAAGTAACACATGGATTAAAGGAACTGAGCTGCACACATCAAGCTAAACCCAGCCAACTTTGCCTGCTAGCCCTTTGGGGCGACTAAATAATATACGAAAATGAACTAGCTCTTCCTAATTGTTAAGTAATTATCCTGAAGGTTGGTGGGTCTAAGCCTCTATTTAGGCAGAGACTGTTCCTCTAAATTTCAATTACTTAAAGCATTATCACGCGTTCTATCTAGCAAAGGAATAATATTGTCTTACATGCACTTATCAAAAACCTGCAGAGACTAAAATAACTATGTCTAAAATTCTAAAGGTAATGCAAAAATAGGAAGAGCTTCTTGAGAATGGCATAAAAAAGAAAATAAAGTGGATTTGGATATGCCTATTTCTTTCAGCATTGTTATATCCTTGGTGTGTAATACAAAACACGGCACATGGAAGGCATTTAATACATGGTTGATGAGGGGATGAATGAGAGTAAATAAATGAATGGGGCATGTGTCCATGAGACAAATAAAAAAATAGCATCATGTAAGTCAGTAGTACCTTTAGAGGAGAGAAAAAAAATTTTTTTTTTAAATTTCTTTAAATTACCTGTTAGAAAACGTTTACCAGCCTTTAGTCTGAATAATTGACATTGAAATTTACTTTCAAAACAGGAAAGGCAAATCCTGAGAGGCCCACAAAAGCACAAAAGGAAAGAAAAGGAAACAAAAGCTAAGGTAGTGCTTCAGGAGTAATAAAACCCAAGACAGGCGGTCCATGAGGACAGCAGCACACAGTGTGACATCGACGCTCCTCCCCAGAGTGTGGACTCAGCATGAAAAACCACGCACAGCATACTTTAGTGCTAAAATTCACAAGAACAAAGACTGAACGAGAAAGGGAAGGAGAACTTAGGTAGAGGTAGGGCAAAAACCCAATGGAGACAGAATGAAAAGAGAGGAGGAGGGACAGCGTGCAACATCTCATGCAGGGACCTTGGTGAGGACAAGTGGGTACTGGGCAACACTCGGTGAGAACAGAGGACCAGAGAAAGTGAGACACACCTCAATCACAGAAACAAACCGCTTACCCTCCGCTTTAGTGGTAGTACCATCTTTAAGCAAATTAAAAAACAAGGGAAGGGATAACAGGGAACAGTTAGTAACATTCAAAAAATTAAAAAGCCAAATGTTATTAGCTACTAAAAAAGCAAAAGTACAATTTAAAACAAAATTAAAAGGGAAACAAGTTCAACAGCAAAGCAGAGTCTGAAGCAAGTAAGTGTGCCTTGTATTGAAATTAGCTTGACATAGCATAATGGTTTTTTTGCCTTTGGAAAATAAAACATAGAAGGGCAACCCAGGGTAGTGCCACAGTTGAAAGAAAGATTGTTTTTTGTTTTAGCCAACTCTAATCCTCTTAAGAGTTCCTTTTTCTTGGAAGAAAGTACCAGCAGAACAGGGCAGAGAGGAGGAACTAGAAGATAAAATACTGAAGAGTTACCCAAAGGGCAGAGCCAAGTAAGAAGCTCAGAGAAGCTTGCTCTAGCAATGCCTATCCCAACTACACGTCCAGCAGCGAAAGCTGTCGAGCATGGTACCTGAGTCCAGGCCTATGTACTCCATGTCTTCCCTCATGTGTCTGGACTCTAGAAGTTTGGAAAAGGATCATCAGCTTTAATGCTACACTTTTGCAAAGATGTCATGTGTCAACCTAAGTAGCAACTGTAACAAATTCTCACTAGGATTGTGCTATATTTCAATTTTTTGGTGTTTTCATTTGGGGACAAAATAAGGGAAATTGAGGTAGAATTCTCAGGAAACAGAGAATTTGAATACTCCAGTCTCGTTCTTTGAAGAGGTTAATACTTGACTGAAAACTTACCATCAGTGCTTCTGAAGGGTCAGTTCCATATTATCATACCAAAAGATGTGAGGGCTTTCACTAGCACTGGGGGAAGTCTATACCAGTCATATTCAAACACTCCAAATACAGACAGAAAAACAAAAACACTGAGTATTTTAATGGCTGATTTTTACTCACTTTTTCCAGCAATGAAACAAACACTAATTACAAATACTAAAGGTGGATCTAATATACTAAAGCATAGGTAAGTACTGAAAAACTAAACCAAAATTAACAGAACTAATTCAGCGTAGGAGGGAAGAGTTGTTACTTCTCCTTTCTTTTCTCAATGGTTACATATGGACAACACTCCTACATAATGCTGGAATAGTTAAAACGATTTAAAAAAGAGAGTTCTTAATGACATTGTTTCTTCTCAATTGTCATGTGTGTATGAGGTATTTCCATAAAAACAAGACTGACTGAGCAGATGTTCCAGAACACGTATCTTCCAAATTAATAATGTTCCTATCACAATCATGCTGTCTTCCACCTTATAGGACAATAGTTTATAAAGAATCTTTATATAATTTTGTTTTGCCTCATATATGAGTTAGGTGGCTATTATTACAAGTAATCTGCAGGTATGGAAAATAGACTTACAGATTCCATGGCCTGCTCCAGGTCACAGAGCTAATAAATGGCAGACCCTAAAATCTTCTCTGAATGCTATTTGTTCACTGTACTTCCAACGTTGGAAACGTTTTCTGAACATTAGTTTTAGAACTGACTCCGGAATTTGTTTGAAAGTTACATGAGTAACTCCACCTCAATATTTCAGGAAGTTTAAATTTTGTTCATTTCCGTAAAATCTAAACTAGAACCAATCCAGCTAAATCCTTAGATTCTGGATTTGGATGAATTGGCTCTTACAAAAACAAAACGAAACAAACAATTAGCCTGACACATAGTACGCGTTAAGCATTTGCTGAAAAATATGAGTAGCTGATTTGTCACTATGTGAGATAGTAAAAATTTTGAAAGTAATTTTTTAAAAACATTTTTGGGCAATCCTCAGAAGGCATGCTCCTCCCAACGTGATACATGGAAGGACAACACTCGTTTGCACAGACAGGATTATGCTGATTCATGAGCTCATTACATTCCTTCAGATTCCTCCTGCCATTCCCCACAACCCAATCCAATGATCCCTGCCAGCTCTGGTTATATTCTCAAATTGAGAAATACCTAACTACATTACCTTTGGTGAATTCCTCACTGAACCTGCTGGCTCTGCTCCCACCAGAGTCAGAGGTGGAAAAAACTTAGCTTTGACAATATGGGAGGTGGCTGGGCTTGCCACGGAGGAGGAGGAAGAGTTGAGGAAAGGATGTGCTCAGTGCCCCCACCCTCCGAGCACGCATGTACTGTGTACTTACTCATCACTAAAACGGATGATGCACCAAAGAAAGGGACACTCAACAAGGGTAGCTGGCTGATCAGCAGCAAGCGCACAAAGCTACTTAAACAGTAGCCCTGCAACAGTGAGACTTGCCTCAATCATGGGTTTTTGTATTTTGCTAAGAGGTAAGAGTCATCTCTCGCAGAGCAGTGCAGGAGGGAAAGGGTGACAGTGGTGTGGTTACCTAAGGATGCGTATGACCCTGGAGGCAAAGCCGCTGCAGAGCTGAAAGGCGTCGTGCCCGCAGATGAGGAGACTTTGGATTTGGCACTGGCTGCTGCATTCACATCAATATCACTTCGAGATCGCTGGAGGGACCCAGTTGTTGACACAGATTTGGTACTAACTGTAGAAGCTTTAGTGATAAAGGAGGAAATATGAATAAGGACTACATAGAATTTTGAAAATACACTGCTAAAGTTTGATGTTGTTTTGCTTTCCTGAAAACAAATACCACATTTTAACAAATGTTGGAGCATAAAAAACTGACCAACAGTTTTTCCTGGTCCCAGAAGAGAGTTCAGGCAATGCTGAAGGAAACTAAAAGTGACCTCAACTGTAATGTATCAATTACATTTGTTTTCTTGTTATCAAAGACTATAAACCCCAAGGAAATGGACCATGTTTCTGCTTGCTATGAAGAAGTGAGATAGGGAAAAAATGCTCACGTATATGGAGTCTCCTCATGAAATGACATAACTGCGCCACGCCCTCTTACCTAGACACCCTCCTCCTTCTGGAACACGCCACTCTCCCACCACTAACCACCACCACACTGCTGCTGCTGCTCAAAATGCCACCAAGATGTCTTCACTGTCTCATCAAAGGATCAGAGACAGGAGGTGCAGTTTGTGGCAGTGTCAACATGCAGGGGAGGTGGGGAGAAAAGGTCACAGAGCTTCATTCCTAAGTCACCCCGTCAATGTTGTCCTCAGCAGTGAGTGGCCCTGACAAAGCGGAGCTCTGCCGGAGAGTCAGAGCAGGGCACAGCAGGCTATGTTCAAGCCTAAGAAGGAACTGAGAGCAGGCTGCCGGCCTCCCGTGCCTGGGCAGCCTCTCACAGCTGCACGTACAGACCACCAGAGCCGAGAACAGGCCTTCTCCACGGCTGTCAGTCTCACCTCTAGATGTGGTACTTCCAGTAGGACTTCTTTTGGCAGACAGCGGACGACTAAAAGTAAAGATGTATACTATTTATTACACGTACTTTATCCGAATTAATACAAATACACACTACAACAGGAAATTATTACGATGAAGAATTATTTCAAACACAGACAGTGAAATAGTCACTACAGACAGAAATCAAACACAGAGCAGAGATGACAATATATTAATTCACGGAGTTTGAACGCCCTCCATTTCCAAACTTGTCTCCAGGTTCACACTTACATCCTCTGAGAAGACTCTCTGAAGCACTGGTGTGTATAGTTCACACTACTCCATAATTCACTTATGTTACTCTAAAACTGTATTCTAGGACTGCCATATAAATTTAACTGAAAAATAGTATGGTAGAGACCAAAGTCACCTATTTCTTACCACTCCGTGGTGGTATCTTACTTTGCACCAGGATCTACCTGAAGTAAGGGGGTGTTGTAACAAGCACACATGTAAAAACATAGCTAGAATTTGTGTTCTCATGCGACAAACTTTGAAACACAAATTCTCACGAGAATGATAAGCAAAGATGAATCCCTTACTTTAGACTCTCTTGAGAGCTGGAAGACGAGCGGTCTGACTGAGGCAGAGACACTATGCTGTCTGAGTTCTTCAGGTGGGACTGCAGGGCTTTCTGGTAGGAGGACTCCAAGGTGTGGTATAAGTGCTCTGCTTCTCTGCTGAAGTGACTGTGGAAACCCCAGTAACATCTAGAGGAAACACACAAAATCCTCTTCTAATCCAAGGATCCACACAGCTCTTTCGCTGAACTCTGGAGTACACCACAGAGGATTTTCAAGGACTGGAAGCCTCAGTTTAGCTGCTAATAGTAGCAGGAGGAGAGGGTGAACAAAGGAGACCTGGTACGAATCCCAGCCTCACAATTTTACTGTCTTTTAGACAATGGGCAAGTCACTTACCCTCTCTCAACGTCAGCCTCATTTATAACATGGGAATTAAAGAGTCTAACTTGCAAAACTGGGGAATCTTAGGGAAGGTGCAGCTAAACATCTAGGACTATACCTAGAACACAGGACAGGCTCATTAAAATGGCAGCTATTATAAATTCAATTACACATCTCTTGATATAAAGTATTTAAAATTGCCTTAGGTAACATGTGCAAAAGAAAAATTTTTAAATGTTCTGAGCTACTTGAAATCGGTATCACATTATGACTAAAGACCAAGAAAAAAATGGGCCGGGGATGGGAAGGGTCCAATACAAGGATAAAAACAGCATAAACAGATCATTAACAAATCCATTCCTAACAGTTTTCAGCAATGACTAATTATGTCACTTATTTTGGTAGAAACCAGCCAAGAAAACATTGGCACGAACACTTCATAGTTATAATAAGCTCAGAAACAAGTGAAATATAATTTAACTGTGAAGGCAGTCAAAGAGCAACAAGTACTAGATCAGGATGCATCACTGCAGCTAAGCAAAACCATAATGATGCAGATTAGATTTTAGCATGTATCAATTAGGAGAGTTGGTCAACTATGAGAGTAAATTCAAAAAAAAACCACAGATGCAACATTGGCAGCAGTTATCGATACACTGCCCAAGAGAGAATGTCTTAATATCAAACTTCTGGTATTTACAGTCACAGTAGCAAAAATTATTTCCAAGGCCAGACGCAGAGGCTCACACCTGTAATCCTAGCACTTTGGGAGGCCAAAGCGGGCAGATCATGAGGTCAGGAGATTGAGATCATCCTGGCTAACATGGTGAAACCATGACTCTACTAAAAATACAAAAACTTAGCCAGGTGTGGTGGCGGGCACCTGTAGTCCCAGCTACTGGGGAGGCTGAGGTAGGAGAATGGCAAGAACCCAGGAGGCAGAGCTTGCAGTGAGCCGAGATTGTGTCACTGCACTCCAGCCTGGGTGACAAAGTGAGACTCCATCTCAAAAAAAAAAAAAAATTTCCAAGGAGGTAACAAATACAGAGGCCATGCCCACATGATTGGAGGAAACAGTCCTAATGGCAAAAGTACCTCATTTGTGAGACAGAAACAGCAAGTTATCACTGTGATAATCCCAGGCATTAGGTCAATTCAGCTCCCCTTAATATGATTCACACCAAGGAATCACAGATGCTTGCAAAGAAGTGACTGCAGGAAGAGAATTCCCTGTGGCCACGATTTTTCATGGTAAATCATTAAAGCAGCTTTGGATTACAATATGGCTTAATGAATAAATGAATACATTGAGCATGTATACAAGTGCCTTCCAGAGCTATGTGATAATTTGTGATGAATGTAAAAATGAGCATTCTTTTGTCTCCCTCAGTCCTGTTTATTCACAAGGTTGAGTGATGTTATTTAAAAAAGACAGAAATATTCCAAAATGGCCTATTGGGGGTCATGTTTAAAATTCATGGTTAACAAATATGTTCAAGTAACTTAACAAGTTTTTAATAAGGCAATCCATATAATTCATGTGAAATACAGAAGAAGTTAATTTAAAAAGTGGGGTACAATAAAAACTTACTTTCTGGCTTCTATTCTTGCTTCGGAATCAGCATCATGTATTCCCTTCTTTATTGTTTCAGCTAATACTGATATGTGTCTAGATATTTAGAAAAGAAAGCAGTAACAATCATAAATGTATGGTTTAATGCGGATGAAACCAGGTGGGAGAAATAACTTCCAAATAGCAACATGGAGCTGGGAGTCTCTGTGCCAAGGCTGGTCAATTCCCAGGTGGCTGGGCAAAGCAGAGCACTCCTACAATCCTTTAATTTTCAGCCCTGCCCCAACACCCTAGCTCCACTCCAACCCATCCATACCTAAAGACTTTCGTAACTCTATTCTCTTGTGGGATTTTTTTAAAAACAAAAGCTGATTTTTCAAAATTTGCACTTACAGCTCAGTCTTTTATGAACCCCAAAAACAAAATCTTGTGTTTTTCATATCAGAACTAGTTTCTAAGGAAATTATGAGATAATGACCTTAATATTGAATAGGCTGTCTACATCAAATACAGAGGGAGAAAAAGAAAACTTTCAAATGAATGAAATTCCTTGAAGGACCTAACAGCTACAACTTGTCTACTAACAGCAACTTTAAACAGTAACCTCATGGGAACTGAAGGGGATGTCAAGCAGCAGGGCCAGAGTCAGTAAGAGTTTCTACTGGCTCTGCAGCTGTCAGAATGCACACGGACATAGTAGTATTTCAACCAATGAAATTCACTAAAAGTGTCTGCGAATATTATGTGACCAACATCAGTAAAACAACAGACGTAGTCATGAAAACAAACGCATATATTCCTCCATTCTTACAGAAAGCCAGCTGGACCACTCACCAAAGCACTCACTCTCAAGATTCAATTCAGAGGGAAAAATGGTTTCAAATCAGATGCTCACCGTTCTAGTGAATGTGTCTGCCATTCTTGTAAAAGCAAATCTAAAAATTCAAAACAGCGCCTAAAAAGTATTAAGAAATACACAACTTATTAATATATATTTTAGTGAAAATGAAACAGCATTTTTCTTAAGTGACCCAATACTGCTTTTTATAATTAGTAAATTTCTTCTGATTTTTGTGATTAGAAAAACAGAACATAAAGAATGAATCAGAACTGACTAAAAACCAAAGCAAATGAAAGTAATGAAGCACCTACTGGTACCACAGGGACACAGGGCCAGGATCCAAGCATTTCTCTCCAATCAGAAGCTTGCACTTCATGGCAACATCACTAAAAGGACTTACCACTGTCATTCGTTTTTACACTATCCTAAGTAATATGTTAATAGAAAATGTATGCATGCACAGAAGATCAAGAAACACGACAGAATCAGGTCTTTGTATTAATTTCAGAAAATGCTTTGCACAAAAAAAGTTAAAAGTACCTTGAAAAACTAAGTGCTCTCTATATTTTCATGCTAAGAAGGCCCTAAGTAGTGCTTACAATGGATTTTCTCCAACTACTGTGCTTTCCTCTGACCAACCTTTCAGCATTCTTCTTTAAGCCTTTTCACTTTTATGATTTTTCTTGGTCTGATTTGTGTACAAAAACAATTTAGATTACATCACCACTTCAGGTTCTACCTCTACAAAATTTTCCTTTTCTGGCTGGGCACAGAGGCTCATGCCTGTAATCCCAGCACTTTGGGAGGCCAAGGTAGGCGGATCACTTGAGGTCAGGAGTTCAAGACCAGCCTGGCCAACATGGTGAAACCCCGTGTCTACTAAAAATACAAAAATTAGCCGGACATGGTGGCGGGCACCTGTAATTCCAGCTACTTGGGAGGCTGAGACAGGAGAATCACTTGAACCTGGGAGGCAGAGGTTGCAGTGAGCCGAGATCGTGTCACTGCACTCCAGCCTGGGTGACAGAGCAAAACTCTGTCAAATAAACAAACAAACAAATAAACAAAATTTTCTTTTTCCTAAGTCTAGCATTTCTATTTTTGTATGAATAAATGCTAATAGTCCTAGGAACCCATTCAAGAACACACAAATCAGAAGTAAAATCTTTCTCTAAAGAAATGACCAGTCTTTCTTTCCTACAATCTTCCCAATTCACAACTTACAATCCATACACAATCATTCAATACATCAAAGGCTGGGAGCAGCAGCTCATGCCTGTAATCCCAGCACTTTGGGAGGGCAAGACAGGAGGATCACTTGAAGTCAGGCGTTTGAGATCAGCCTAGGCAACAAAGTGAGACATCTCTCTACAAAAATTTTTTTTTTTTTTAATTAGTTGGGCCAGGTGCAGTGGCTCACACTTGTAATCCCAGCACTTTGGGAGGCCGAGACGGGCGGATCATGAGGTCAGGAGATCAAGACCATCCTGGCTGACACAGTGAAACTCCATCTCTACTAAAAATACAAAAAATTAGCCGGGCATGGTGGCGGGCGCCTGTAGTCTCAGCTACTCGGGAGACTGAGGCAGGAGAATGGCACGAACCTGGGAGGCGGAGCTTGCAGTGAGCCGAGATCGCGCCACTGCACTCCAGCCTGGGTGACAGAGCGAGACTCTGCCTCAAAAAAAAAAAAAAAAAAAAATTTAGTTGGGCACAGCGGCATGCACTAATAAAGTCCTAGCTATTTAGGAAGCTGAGGTGGGTGGATTGCTTGGGCCCAGAAGTTTGAGACTGCAGTGAACTATGATTGCACCACTGCATTCCAGTTTAGGCAACCAAGTCAGACCCTGTTTCAAAAATAAATAAATAAAAATAATTATTTACTAACCCTTTACCGTGTGTCAGATGCTGGAGATCCAATGATAACCAAGACACAGCCCAGAGAACAAAAGAGACAGTCACATTGCTAGACTGTTTGGGGCTCCAGCAGCTCACAGGAGAGCCCTGCAGCTTGGTCCTGGGGCTGGCAGCGGTGGGGCCAGAGGGGTAAGCAAGTCTTTTCCAAGGAAAAGACACCAACTACACACACACCCATTCCTCACCATCACCTTCCCTATTCCTGCCCCAATCTAGACCATGTTTATTCTACTTTCACCTTTTTGCCTGTGGCATTTCCCAATCTGGGTTTTTCTTGGCTCTTTACTGCACTTATTCCTACTCATCTTTCAAAATGTGGCTCATTTTTAACCCATCTATGAAGTTTCTTGGGAAAACATCAGCAAGCTTTAATCACTGCTGTATCTGAACTCCTAATTCCACAATATATATGATAACGTCAGAGTATGTGTAATTCATTTGTTACCAATTCTACACAGCCAAGCTAAGTACAGGCTGCATATGTAACAGAAGGTGCACTGCTTTGCTTACACTGCACTCTTAAGCTCCCTCTCCCTTTCTGAGGGCAGAGGGCAGAGGGACTGGGCAAGATGGTCCCTATTACTTCTCTCAGCATTAAGACATACAGTTCTGACTGACACCCACTGGCTAAATACAGAAACAACAATCTGAGTGTGTGGTTCAGAAATTGGTGAGGGTGGAGGCATTTCTACTGTCACAATGACTATGGGGTGCTACTCATATTTAGCGTCAAAGGCCAGAAATGCTAAATGTTATGAAGTGAATTTTATCTCCCTGCCCCACCAAATTAATATGTTGAAGTCCTTACTCTCAATGTGACGGTTATTTGGAGATGGGACCTTTGGGAAGTGATGAGGTTTAGATGAGGCATGATAATGGGGCCCTCATTATGAGATTAGTGTCCTTATAAGAAGAGATAACAGGTAGCTTGCTCTCTCCTCCCTCCCACCCTGCTCTCCCTCTCTCCCATGTGAGGACACAGGAGAACACTGGTCTACAGGCCAGGATGAGAGTCCTCACCAGAATCTGACCTTCCTGGCACGCTGATTTTGAACTTCCAGCCTCTAGGCCAGGGGTGTCCAATCTTTTGGCTCCTCTGGGCCACCGTGAAAGAAGAAGAATTGACTTGGGCCACAAATAAAATACACTAACACTAATGATAGCAGATGAGCTTTAAAAAAATCTCATAATGTTTTAAGAAAGTTTACGAATTTGTGTTGGGCATTCAAAGTTGTCCTGGGCTGCATGGTTGGACAAGCTTGCTCTAGACTGTGAGAAATAAATCTGTTGTTCATGCCATCCAGTCTGTAGTATTTTGTAATGGCAGCCCAAGATGATGAATCCCCTAAATATCCTGCAACGTTCCACAACAAAGATCTGTGTCATCTTATTGGAGAAATTTTGCCTTACACAAGGAAAAACACATTCTGAATTTCTCTTGGAAACCTAACATTAGCGAAATGAAAACAGCAGCAAGATGAAAATAACAGCCACAGCTGCAACAAATTAAGCTTTCACTAAATGTTTTACCTAATGACTGAATCCTCCAAACCTTATAGAGGGGTACCCTTATACCTAACGAGTCAGACGAGTAAGTGGGAGAGGAATGTTTCAACTGATGCTCGTCAGGTTCTGAAGTTCACAATCATCCCTCTGGTGTGCTGACTTTACATTCTCATCTCTAGGGGGAGCTGAAGCTGCTCCACTCTAACTCCAGGAGAAGCTGAACCCTAGGTCAAGGGTAGATTGCATTCGCTGGGGGTACACACTTGAGTCACACAGTATGGAGTTACATTTTTTCAGTGGAAGGTATAAATTTCTTTTTTCATGATTTTAGATAGCTGGATTATTCCTCTTTTCTCTTTTTGTCTTTCATGTAGCTATTAATGAGATGGATCTAAAACCAACTACTAGGTATATATTGCAAAAAAATGCAGTCAGTATGTTGAAGAGATATCTGAACTCTCATGATTATTGCAAGACTATTCACAATAGCCAAGATAGGGAATCAACCTAAGTATCCATCAACAGATGAGGAGATAAAGATAATGCAGCATACATACACAACAGAATCTATTCAGTCTTAACAACAACAACAAAATAAAGCCTGTCATTTAAGACAACACAGATAAACCTGGAAAATATTATCTTAAAAGAAATAAGCCAGGCATACAAAGACAAGTACTGCATGATCTCACTTATGTGTGGAGGAATCCAAAAAGGTCGACTCAGGCTTGATGCAATGGCTCACACCTGCAATCCCAGCACTTTGGAGGTTGAGGCCAGCCTGGGCAACATGGTGAGACCTTATCTCTATAAAAAAATTAAAAACTAGCTGGGGGCGTGATGGCACACACCTATGGTCTCAGCTATTTGGGAGACTGAGGCGGGGGGATCACTTGAGCCCAGAAATTAGAGATTGCAGTGAGCCATGAGTGTGCCACTGCACTCTAGCCTGGGTGACAGAGTGAGGCACCACCTCTAAAGCAAATAAAGTTGGACTTACAGAAGCAGAAAGTAGAATGGTGGTTCCCAGAGGCTGGGGGTTGGGAGACGGGGAGATGTAAAGTATGCAAAATGTCAGGCAGATATGAGTAAGTTCAAGAGATCGATTGTACTTCATAGCGATGGTGACTATAGTTAGTAACAACATATTATATACTTTAAAATTGCTGAGAGTAGATTTCAAGTGTTCTCACCACAAAAAAGTAAGTATGTGAGGTGATACACGTTAAAGAGCTTGATTTAACCATTCCAAAATGTATACACATTATCAACACAGCATGTTGTACACCATAAGTCTTCACAATTTTTACTTGCCAATTAAAAAAATAAAGGTTGGGCATGGTGGCTCACATCTATAATCCCAGCACTTTAGGAGATCAAGGTGGGAAGACTGCTTGAGCCCAGGAGTTCGAGATCATCCTTGGGCAACAGAATGAGACCCCCGTCTCTAAAAACAGTAAAAAAAAAAAAAAGATTAGTGGGCCATGGTGGGGTGTGCCTGTAGTCCCAGCTACTTGGAAGCCCAGGAGCTTGAGGTTACAGTGTGCTGCACTCCAGCCTGGGTGAAAGAAAGAAAAGAAAGGAAAGCAGTAAAGGAAGAAAGGCAAGAAAGGAAGGAAGGAAAGGAAAAAGGAAAGAAAAGGAAAAAAAGGAAAGAAAAAGAAAAGGGGAAGGGAACAAAAGGGAAAAGAAGAAAAGGAAAGGAAAGAAAATTTTTAAAAAGGCAGTCTGTGGCCAATTTGCTAAAAATAATAAAATAAATTTTAAAACGACAAATCCAGAGCTGCTGCATGCTTAAGAGGGTCTTGTACTCATAGAAACCCAGCAGGATCAACATGACACCCCAGGGAAAAAGGCAAACAGCTAGCAAAAGTCATCTGGGCTCTAAATCTTAGAGTGAAGGATTCTTTCACAGGTCTGAGCTACAATAACACAGTCTTTACTCCTCACACGTAGTTTAGGGCAGCTCACCAGCACATATAAGACAGGGACTTGGGAACAAACCCCTAGCTAGTTACCCAGGTTGTATTTGCCTGAGTCTTCTGGATATATCTCCCACAACTGCACAGAACTAAGTAATAGTGAAGATTCAGAATCCCAGAAATCGCTAAACAGAAGATGCAAACAACACATACCTTTCAAATATGAAACTACTGCCATTGATGTTTATGGTATTTTTTTCTTGCATGCAGTTACTGCCTTTACTCAGGGAATAGGGCAGACTAATGACAAAGGTAGGAGGATTATCATAGGAAAAAAATGTACAGGGGGTCCTCTCCCCTTCTCCTTCTGCCACTAGCCCCCAAACTCACTCTCTCTCACACAGACACATACACACACACACACACACACACACACACACAGAAACATAATAGAGGTTGTCCACATTCATTTCCCAAAATATTTAGATCTTGATTCTTCAACTCAAAGTCATTTATTGCAGTGATTTTAAGTAATACTAAGCATTTTAAACATGAAATTTTATCCATGGAAGGAGATTTGGAATTTGTTTTGGTTTTTAAACAATTTAAAAACAATGAGAAAACCCTTTAAAATTTACCTTCTAACAGCGACAGACTTAGAGGTACAGTTGCTTGTTATGACAGGTATTAACCTAGGGATGTGTGTGTGCTGTGAAGAACAACAAAAAACAGAGGTGAACACTTGCAAATACAAAAGTAAAACAAAATTAAAAGAATCACTTCCTCACTAATCTACTTATATAGCACATATACATTCAGATTAGAATGTCAGTGAGTTTTAAAAGAAAAAAAGAATTCACAGGATATTGTCAAAAGGCATTAGAAAATTTACAGAGTTAAGAACAGGCAACATGATGACATGAAGGTAAGACTAAAACAATCATTACTATGAGGTCTAAATTATCTCAGCTGTAGAGATCTGAGTGGGTTTCAAAGGAGTCATTAGACCAATATATTTTGATATTGTTTCAACGGAAATGTCCAATAATGACCTTGGGTTTAACAGTTAAAGTAGGCAGTGCAAGTAAGAACAGTAAGAACTAATAATACAAAGTAAATAACCAAAATAATCAAGAATATTCTGGATAGACTTTAGACAATATCATCAAGCCTCAAAGCTTCAAGAACTGCTTCTGGGCAAAAAGGACTTGAAAGTGGTGGGGAGGTAACGTGGAAAACCATTTTAAACCTTTGTGAACTATTAGATTTTGTTAAAAACTTGTGTATAAATTACTTGGATAATTATTTAAATTTGAACAAATAAGTGCCTAGAAAATCTAACCAAAGAGAATATTTTGTTTCTGTGCTTATGTGCAATTAATTGAACTTTTGGGTGAACAGCAAAACCACAAGTACCAATACCTAAAATGGAAGGACTGGGATTAAGGAGGTTAAGACTGAGAGTAATATCTAAGTAACAAGAATACAATATAATCTCAGAAGCAGACCCCGGATGTTCGAATATTTTAAACCAATAGTGAGCTAACAATCAATACCTCATTAACTTTATAACACATCCATAATTCACATTATGGATTATAAAAAGCTCATATGCCACAATTAAGTAGGGGGAAAAGATGATTATATATATATAAAATTCCAATATAATTATGCTAATAAATTTAATTACTCAATATAATTATGTTAACAAAAATGCCTCTAATATTTATCAACCATCGGTATTTACCACTTGCTTATTTCATGTATGGCCTATAACATACTTACCCGAATAATTAACCTAACAGCTACAACACCAGACGTGGCCATAATTTTGGCACTGTTTGGAATTAAATTAAAGATAGTTGGCATAATGGCTTCGGCTCCATGGTCAAACTTATTCCCCAGAACTGATGACAGATGTCTAAAACAAGAAATGGATACTGGACTGTAGTTATTTTTCTTAGAAACAGTGAAGCACATAAACCATTTAACATCTAGAGCCTTCATTTAAAGTTATCTAGAAAGGACAAGGGTCTAAGATTTCCGATGTGCATGTTGAGAACTTGGCAAATAGTTCTTAGCCCAAAGGTGTTTGTTTGTTTGTTTGTTTGTTTTTTTAATTTCCAACTAGTCTTTGTGGAGCTTTTTGTTTGTTTTCTAGAGGCAGGATCTCACTATGTTGCCCGCGTTGAACCTGAACTCCTGGGCTCAAGCAATCCTCCCACTTTGGCTTTCCAAGTAGAAGGGACTCCAGGTACATACCAGCCCACCTGCCCCACCTAGTCTGAAAATACCAAACTGATGATATATTAATAAAACACAAATATGAAAAAGCACCCTTGGCTCCTTTTTCATATTTTTTCTTTTATCTTAACATAAAATATTCAGGCTTCAAAATCTGACTGCAGCCAAAACTTTAAAGAGCTGCGATGCCTCCTCTTGCTGCTGCTGCTTTGATATTCTGAGATACATTCTAACACAAAGTTTTATTAGCTTTGATCACTAGTACACATATAGCTAGAATAAAATTTTACTGCAGTAAATGCCTTTAACTTTATAACTACAGTACTCTTCTAGGAACAAACATTCTGATAACCACACTATTGCCTGCCAGCAAAAATCAATGAAAAATCAGAGAAACAGGATTTTATAGAGTTTCATCTTTCCATATTAGTAACTGCTTCAAAGTTTGAAATAAAGGCTTCAGAGCTATATCACTGAATAAAATAAAATTTAAAATCTGTCACACTTCACATAATTGAGCAAAAAGTATTGTAAAACCACTGACAGAAGTGTTAACTGGAATGGGTCTTGAAGACTAGTCAGAAGTTACATTAAAGAGACCCAGCTCACAAGTTCAAGGAGACACCTCTGAAGCTCTGTGGTGACACTATTTTATGGTGAGAATATGGAGTGTCGCAGTCCTTACCCCAACGTGATACAAGCCTCCCGCACTACCTGAGACCGCAGATCCTTAGCAGAGAGTTTAAAGGCTCCATCCAAAAGACGCAAATGTTGAAAGAAGTTATCATACTCAGCGGCACCAGCCAAAAGTAAAGATCTAATCTTTTTTAGCTAATGGAATAGAGAAAATTCAGAAAAACAGAAACCAATTCTAACACAGAATATACAAAACAGAAGCCATCAAATACAAAAGAGATAATTGTTAAAGTTCAACTGACTAGAAAGCATTCCCAAGAGAATTCAGCCAGTTAAATATTAGCTAATACAATAAACAAATCTACATATCACAAATAAGACTAAATAATTTTTAACTGGAGTATTTGTGACACATATATTGTAATTTCTGCAAAAACAGTTTTACATTTGAAATATCTTAAAGTATTTATAGATCCTACAACACTAATGATAAATAATTAAAAACTTTTGGCTTGTGAAAAGCCCCTCCTAAGCTTACCTCCCCTCACACCCCACTTCAACTGCCATTTATTTAATGAACCAAAGGAAGCAGCATTCCTACCTGAACCATTATCCTCCACCGAACCATTAACTGGCTGGTCTGAATTTAAAATACAATATAATGGCAATTGTACCACCTCCCTTCTTGCCAGCCAACCAGTAGAAAATAGCCTTCTCAGATCAGACACACCCTTGCTTTAACGTCCAGCCCACTTTCCATTAATCTACTTTTAAAAATAAAGGAGACACAACTTTCTAGCAAGTGATATGAAGAAAGAAAAGAATACTGGGGGACATATACTAAAACTGCCACAAAAAAGCCACTTTAAAGGCAAACAATCACAGAATGAAATTTCTGCTAAGGTGACAGTGGAGGCTGTCACCATACACTCCACAGTTAGGTCTTTGTTAAAAGACTAGATGATTCATAAAGGTTTAAGTTGGTGTGTTTCCAAAATAAAATAAAAGGAGATATTCTACTAAAAGGGTGAAGTGTAAATACGATAATTTGTATTTAAAATATATACTATTTAAAATTCATTAGCGTTGTGCCCTGATTTCATAATAAAGCATGAGATATTTAAATACATCTTATGAAAAGGTAATCACATGAAGTCAACAGCTTACAGCATTTACTCTCTGTTCCCAATCATGCTTGTCATCAGATAGTATTTCCCTAATTTTGTTTATGGATTCCTCAAGGTCTCGGCTGGAATAAATCTGTAAGCAAAATTAATTTACAATCAATATAAAAACATGCAGAATAAACAGATTACTTCTTAATTACATGAAGTCAAGACCATTTAGTAAAAGACATTATTTAATTTTTAAGAAACACCTATGAGAAAATATCTGCAGAGTTTTGTCTATAATGAGGATCTTTCTCACTATAACTGTGCACCCACAAGATTTGCTGCCATATGTGAACAACCCTGCCTCAAACGTAGCTTTCCTATCAACTTAACAGGTGATTTCATGTACAAAGAGAAACAAGCCTAACGGGAAACAGTCAGTGATGCCCAAGTCATTTCTTACTCTTAGTATTATTTATAACATGACACTATACCTATAATTTTAAAGACTTTCAAATGTACACTCTCATTTATCTCCACATCTTACTTAGAAAACAGGTAGGGTATGGGGTATAATCAATCTGGATGTATGCTGGGAAGGTCAGGTCAAGTACTTAAGGATGAACCTGAACCCAAGATTGTTTTTTTGTTTGTTTTTTTTAAGAGACTGGGTCTCACTCTGTCGCCCAGGATGGAGTGCAGTGGCGCAATCTCAGCTCACAACAAACTTCACCTCCCGGGTTCAAGGGAGCCTCCCAGCTCACTCTCCTGAGCAGCTAGAACTACAGGCATCTGACACCACAGATGATTTTTGTATCTTTTGTACAGATGAGGTTCTGTCATGTTGCCCAGGCCACTGAGATTCTTGTTACCTGCTTTATACACATACGGCAACGAAGGTGGCAAAGAGAGTTGTACATGACAGACTAGTAAGTGCCACAGGAATCCAGAGCACAGACAGCCGGTGTAGGCTGAGGAAAAGTGTTAGTCTCAACCAGCAATAGATGATACTAAGGCACAAAGCAGTCAAAAACTTGTGGCTGTATCCCAATTTTTATAAATAATCTTTGTTTCATCTGTTAGGTATTTAAAGTAAAGCATCAAACAAGGTATAAACTAAGCTCTTATTAAATCATTCTCTGTAACTTTTCAGACACCAAAATCCTTCAAATTAATGAATTTTTCTAAAAAAAAAAAATCCCTAAATAAATATGCCTTTTTTATTTTCTAATTGAGCATCACCTATTTCTTTCTCTTTTATGTGACCTGATCCATAAACTTAATAATAGAGCAACCAATGTCTTTCCTGTTCTTACTGAAACATCATCTTGGGCCTTGACTTTTGCTCCAACATTTTCTAGTCTGCACCTCAGATCTCCTGTAGTGTTGACAGTTAAAATTACCTGACCTAGTAAAGAACATTACACAAGCATACTTGAAAAATAAAATGTGAAGAAAGTCTACCCTTGTTTGTAATCATACTCAAATATCCTCACTGACCTGTACTACAGGTACATCATCAAATGCTTTAATAAAATCTTCTTCATCCACAGCACCAGCTCCTTCTTTTGCAGCTGTAAAAAAGAATTTCAAAAACTATGAAACAATGTATATAACACATACACTGAAGAAGTCTAAACATATACAATCAAAACTCTGTTTTGGAAGATTCAGAACTATTTTTTAGAAAGGCTTCATGTAACTTTGGAGTGTCATGAAATTGACAAACATTACTGACTTCATATCAAGATGAAATATAGTAATTCTACAATGCTATATACATTAGCTTAAGGTCACTTAGACTACCTGTTTAAGCAGGGAGGGTATGGTTTTAAAGGGTTTAGATATTGTATTAATATACAAGTCTTTTGAAAGATTCCTAATAAATGGATCAAGCAGAAAATTTAATTCTTCAGGGAATAACTTAAACTGTAATTACTAGGAATTCAGCATTACAAAGTTGTGACTATTCAAACCAGTCCTAAATAATTTCAGTTTTATTTAACTTTATATTAGTTTGAAAACATTTCTATTTCCTTGAACTCATGATAACTGTCATTTTTTTCATTTAAGAATCAGTTACAAGTTTCTCCTACAAAGTTATCCTAAGATGCTTTGTATACTTAAAAGTATGTGAAGAAAGTATTTCTTTTCGCTAATCTGAGCTCCCTTTTATGCATGAAAATCAAGTGATGCTTTATCAGATTTTTTCACATTTTAAAAACTGGTGTCCATAGTCATCTTCATAACCCCCATTAATGATTTACATGGATTAGTCTGATTGCTTTTCTAAGACTTTCTTACCACACATGTATCTGGTGTTCGGGGTCCTGATAATTATCCAGACAGAAAGGAGCTTTAAAGACAATCCCAGGTAGCAGTAAATGTGTGTCATCACTCTTGCTGAAGATCACTCACACCGTGGAAAAGCTAACTACTCTAAAGGCCAATAGTTACTCACTGTGATGTGGTGCTCTGTGTCTGTTTTAGCATAAAAACTGGATCTCATTGAGCAGATAGGCCCTGAATGCCTCCTTTGCATGAGGCCCTCCACCATGTACCCACATATAACAAAGAGGACTCAGAGGCCAACAACAGTCCCTGAGCCTAGGGTATCTGATGAGGAGGAGCAAACCAGGAAATTTATGACTATGGTTTTAAACAACATGGAAAAAAGGATAAGTGCAGGGCTGAAGGGAAAACCGAGCTGATATGTGCATAATCTACACAGCAGGGACTTCTGGAAAGGCTATGGATGCGGGATGGGAAGGAAAGCACCAGTCTAGTAATTTTCTAAGCCTTGTTTGTGCAACAGATAATTACCCAATAATAGATCAAGAAAAAAGAAAGATTGTTCAGGCATTAAAAGGAATAAAGTATTGATATATGCTACAAGGTAGATGAAACACTGAAAACATTCCCTTTAAAATGGCTAATTTTATGTTATGTGAATTTAAAATCAGTAACAAAAAGTAAAATGTTTTAAAATACACCAAAAAAATGATTAGAAAGAACTAGAAATAAGTACAATTAACATTCCTACAGCTCCTGTATCACAGATGCTGGGGTCAGGAGGCAGAGTGGTCCCATGCTGGTCTGGTCAAGATACCAATATTCTAGGGCCAGTTCAGAATTCAGGAGAGGCCATCAGGAGACAGCATTTTAATGCTAATCACGAGTATAGCTTTTATTTGGTCCTTTCGGCTTCATCTTTTTTGGCTCATGGGATTCCCCATCCACCACTATCCCCACCACCACCAAGAGCGCAAAAGCTAAAGCCATCAGTGAAAATGGTTCTAAAAGCAGCAGCTACACAATTTTTCTGAGGTAAATTTCGGAAGGAATTTGCATGTAAATGTGAAACTTGACAGAAAATGAGAGTTGTATATAACAACTAAACTGTCTACATTAGGAGTGAAAGGAAGAATTTATGGAAGAAATCTCCTACAACTTATTTAATGCAACATCCTTACTAGTCTCACAAGGAACCACGTTACTTGTAAGAACAAAATGTATTTTATCTTATTTATTTTTATTCCCAACTTTTAAGTTCAGGGGTACATGTGTAGGATGTGCAGGTTTGTTACATAGGTAAACGTGTGCCATGGTGGTTTGCTGCACAGATCACCCCATCACTAGGTATTAAGACCAGCACATTAGCTATTCTTCCTGATGTTCTCCCTCCTCCCACCCCAAACCCTGCAACAGGTCCCAGTGTGTGTTTTCCCCACCCATGTGTCCATGTGTTCTCATCATTCAGCTCCCACTTATAAGTGACAACACGCAGTATTTGGTTTTCTGTTCCTGCGTTAAACTGCTGAGGATAACAGCTTCCACCTCCATCCATGTCCCTGCAAAGGACATGATCTTGTTCCTTTTTATGAATGCATAGTATTCCATGGTATATATGTACAACATTTTCTTTACCCAGTCTTAATGGGCATTTAGGTTGACTCCAGGTCTTTGCTATTGTGAATAGTGCTGGGATGAACATATGCACATATGTATCTTTGTAACAGAATGATTTACATTCCTTTGGATATATACCCAGTAATGGGACTACTGGGTCAAATGGTATTTCTGCCTCTAGGTCTTTGAGGAACTGACACAGTCTCTTCCACAGTGGTTGAACTAATTTACACTCCCACCAACAGGGTAAAAGCACTCCTTTTTCTCCACAACCTCGCCAGCATCTACTGTTTTTCTGACTTTTTAATAATAGCCATTCTGACTGGTGTGAGATGGTATCTCACTGTGATTTGCATTTCTCTAATAATCAGTGATGTTGAGCTTTTTTTCATGCGTTTGCTGGCCGCATGTTCGTCTTCTTTTCCTACTTTTTCTTTGCCCACTTTTTAACGGGGTTGTTTTTTCTTGTAAATTTAAGTTCCTTGTAGATTCTGAATGTTAGGCCTTTGTCAGATGGATAGATTGCAAAAATTTTCTCCCATTCTGTAGGTTGTGTGTTTGCTCTGATAGTTTATTTTGCTGTGCAGAAGCTCTTTAGTTAAATTAGGTCCATTTGTCAAATTTTGCTTTCATTGCAATTGCTTTTGGCGTCTTTGTCATGAAATCTTTGCTCATGCCTATGTCCTAAATGGTATTGCCTAGATTTTCTTCTAGGGTTTTACAGTTTGAGTTAAATTTTAACTCTTTCATCCATCTTGAGTTGATTTTTGTATAGCGTGTAAGGAGAAGGTCCAGTTTCAATTTTCTGCATACGGCTACCCAGTTCTCCCAGCACCATTTATTAAACAGGGAATTCTTTCCCCATTGCTTGTTTTTATCAGGTTTGTTGAAGATCAGATGGTTGTAGTCGTGGGGTCTTTATTTCTGGGTTCTCTATTCTATTCCATTGGTCTGTGTGTCTGTTCTTGTACCAGTACCACACTGTTTTGGTTAGGGGTAGCCTTATAGTATAAAGTTGGATAGCGTGATGCCTCCAGCTTTGTTCTTTTTGCTTAGGATTGTCTTGGCTATATGAGCTCTTATTTGGTTCCATATGGATTTTAAGATAGTTTCTTCTAATTCTGTGAAGAATGTCGATGTTAGTTTAATGGGAATAGCTTGAATCTATAAATTGCTTTGGGCAGTATGGCCATTTTCATAATATTAATTCTTCCTATCCATGAGCACGGACTGTTTTTCCATTTGTTTGTATCGTCTCTGATTTCTTTGAGCAGTGTTTTGTAGTGCTCCGTGAGGAAGTCCTTCACTTCCCTTGTTAGCTGTATTCCTAGGTATTTTATTCTTTTCGTGGCAATTGTGAATGGGAATTCATTCACGATTTGGCTCTCTGCTTGCCTGGTGTTGATGTATAGGAATGCTAGCGATATTTGCACACTGATTTTGTATCCGGAGACTTTGCTCAAGTTGCTTATCAGCTTAAGAAGACTTGGGCTGAGACAATGGGGTTTTCTAGATATAGGATCATGTCATCTGCAAATAAAGATAGTTTGACTTCCTCTCTTCCTATGTGAATACCCTAACCCTAACCCCAACCCCGTGCTCCTTTAGCTCAGTGAAGTTCACTATTATCCACATTCTGAGGCCTACTTCTGTCATTTCAGCCATCTCAGTCTCAGCCTAGTTCTGAGCCCTTGCTAGAGAGGGGTTGCAGTTATCTGAAGGAAAAGATGTTTCAGCGCTTTTGTGTTGATTCTTTCTCATCTTTGTGGGCTTATCTACCTTTGATCTTTGAGGTTGTGGTCCACTGGATGGGGTTTTTTGTGGTTGCTGTTTTCTGTTTGTTTTTCTTTTAACAGTCTGGTCACTCTTCTGTGGAGCTGCTGCTACCCAGCTTTCTACAGATTATCTTTGAGGTCTTGAGCTCTGCCCTCCCTGCATGAAGAGCCTGCAGTCCAGGTAGAGAAACACGGGCCTTCCGCTCCCACAGAGCTACCTCCCGCTGGCCCAGCTCCACTTCACGCTACCATCCAACAGACACACCAACAGCTGCCACCTCACCATGGCTCACCGGGAACTGGAGCAGAGGTGGCTGTCTCCACCACCCACAGCCCGACCTGCATGCGGAGCATGCACACACGCCCCAATACCTAGGGGCCAGTCCACAAGATGTATTTTAAAGACAGGAGTTACAGTGTGACTTCTGGATTATTCTCAGTCTTGTTAAACAGAAATTGTCTAAAACGCCCCTAGTGGTTTCAGGCATTGCTGGATCCAGATAACTAAACAATGCGATGAGGGTGCGCTCTTGCTTTTATCTCGGAGCTATGCTTTCCTCTGTGCTAGTTTCCTTCTTCTATAGGCTCTGCCTTAGCAGAATGCGGCAGAAGTCAACACAGTAGCTCAAATTTACAACTTACCAGCTAATCAGCACTAGTACTGCAATGCTAATTCAATTAAAGAATAGCAGGCAGAAACCTGCTGCATATGGGGACTGTATCACTTCTGAGGGCCACCACAGGCAAGTACTTGCACCTCTGGTTTGAAAAGCTGGCATAGCTGACCCTAGAACGCCACACAGGGCTTAGACTAACCTGAAGACTTGGATCCCAGGGTGGATGAACCAAGACGGCGGGTGGTTCCCATTCCAACGTTTCTCCGAGAACTCGGTGGAGCCTTGGATGACGTAGAACTAGCAGAGGAAGGTCTGTTACCATCCACAGAATCTTCATCATCGAAATTTTTATCTGAACAGTAAGCACAGAAACCAATGTTTTTTAAAAAACAAAAACTATACACACACACACACACACACGCACACACACACACATACACACACTTTTTCATACTTTTGCATACTCTTTTGGAGTCTGAGGTGCCCCTCTAGGGTCTGGAAAGCCTTAGGTTAAGCCCAGAATGAAGCTACAAAGATCATACTTGCTTTCACATACCCAGAATACTTTTGCACTCAAATTTTGAAAAATAGAACAAATAAAAAGAAGAAAACAATCTCTCATAAAACCACCACCTAGAAACAGTTATTTTCACATGCTGGGACATTTCTGACCATCCATGCTTTTTTTTTTCTTTAAGATAAAGGGTCTCACTGTCACTCAATCCTCCCACCTTGGCCTCTCAAAGTGCTGGGATTACAGGCATGAGCCACTGTACTTGGTCACTTGGGTATTTTAAAGTAGCAGCTGAGATGAGTATGTATCATATTGGCATAGTGCTTACTTCAAATATGTAAATTTTTCCTCTGTGATGAAATATTTTTCATAACCACCATTTTAATAATTGTATGGTACTTTGTAATTGGAAAATGGCACAAGTGAAGCACTCTTATGGTTAGACATTTAGGGTGTTTCTAATTCCTCACCATTAGAAATGCAATATTGCAAATGCCTTCCTACATTTTTTGTTTGTTTGTTTGAATTTCCAATCGTCTTAGGAATGAAAACCCTAGAAGCAACAACAGTGGGTCAAAGAGTGTAAAAGTTCTTGATGTATAGTGCCAAAATTATCAGAGAGGTCATATAAATGTGCATTTCCCCTAGAAGTTCAAAGAAGTACTCATCCTTCCACACCACTGCTAACATTTAATATTACCATTTTTAAACTTTAATCAATCTGACAGGTGGAAAAAAGACTTCATCTTCTATGTTGCATTTCTTTTTTAGTGAAGATGAACATTTTTTTCATAAGCTCATTAACTTTAAAATTTTTTAAACAGCAGTGGATTCAATCAATACTCCTCAAGTTGCATTTAAAATTAAAAAAAAAAAAAAACACACAGCTGTAGTCCTACCACTTTGGGAGGCCAAAATGGGAGAACTGCTCGAGGCCAGGAGTTCAAGACCAGCCTGGGCAACATAGCAAGGTCCTGTCTCTTAAAAATAAAAAAAAATGTCAGATATGGTGGCATGTGCCTGTAGTCCCAGATACTCAGAAGGCTGAGGCAGGAGCATCACTTGAGCCCAGGAGCCTGAAGCTGCAGTGAGCCAGGGTCATTCCACTACATTCCAGCCTGAGTGACAGAGCAAGACCCTGTCTCAAGAAAAAAGAAACATCTTTGGATTCTTAAAAATCAACAAATTTATAACAACACTTCAATGATGCAAAATTAAAGTTTATGCACAAGTATAAGAGTGAGTCATTTAGGAGGCTAAACAAAGAACTTAAAGAGTAATTTAAATAAAACAAAAATCAATATCTGTAGCTGGCAATATTCATGATTTCTCAAAGGGGCATTAGTTCTTTACCAATAAGTTTGAAATAAATCTTTGTGATCCAAAAAATATACAGAATTCCTGTTTTCCTTGATCTAGTCGCTTCTTAAGCTAAATTATCAACAGCGAAGTCTTGTGTCTACTCAAGACCTCAATGCTCCCTGAAACTCAACAACAATGCACTCCAAATTACATGGCTCAGTTTATTCAACACAGGGTAGGGGGAGGAGGAGAGAAAGACATCCTCACAAATCCATGTCCTTATGCAAATTAGCTCCTTTCACTGTGCCTTTAAATCCCCCAGATTGTCTTGTTATGCCATGCTGTTTCAAGATGGTTCTTTCAACCCATACATCCATTTTTTATTGATTCACATGCACAGTGCTATTAGCACAGACTTCCCGTGGATTCAGAAAGTGGTTCATAATGGCCTTCCCAAAATGAAAATTTAAGTCTAATGTAAAGAATAAGAACAACCCAAAGGAGAAGTCACCCACTGAGTACTGTCAGCATTAGCGGTGACAAGGACAGATCTCACTCAGCCTATCTGTCCTCTGGGGAGCTCTAAGAACATCTGAACAGATGTCATTATTCTACTACCTTAAACCATAATCATTCTGCTGAGTAGGAACAGTTCTAGTCTCTGGGACAGGTAAAAAATAAATGGGAGACATGAGGACACTATCATGCTTCACTCACAAATTCATGTAAATTATGTTTAATTCAGTCTTCTAAGACATGCAGGCATGTCATTTAGAACAGTACTCAGCTGCCAAGAATTATTTTCAATGGACCAATTTCAATGGAATTCCTGAAATTTTTTGCTTGCATCAGTGATAGACTAGGTGTGGACCAGACTTAACCTCCTGCAATAAATAGCTAGAAAACCTGACAGTATATCTGAAAGAACTACGTGCAGGCACTGGATACTAGGCAGTGCAGAACTTGGCTGCTCAGCTAATTTGCATAAAGATATAGATTTATTCGTTTCTCCCTGCAAGAAAAGAAACAAGGTAAGCTATACAATCACCCCAACTTTCTGCCTGGAGGTGTTAATAATTTCCAGGTCACCAAGTACAGGGAAGGGGACCTCAAATTAAACTTAGTAGCCCTGCAGATTAGAAACTGCAGACAATAAAGAAAAGAGTTCAGAGAGGTTGAGGGTGCTAGAAATTACAGGAAGCTACACAGAAAGAGGGCTACAGAAATGTGCTAAGTTCTAGGCCTCACGTGTGTGAGTGAACTTCCACGAAGCAAGGCAGAAAATGACCAAGAAGGTGTGAAATGAACAACTCTTAGAGTTTACACAAGTAGGGAAGCTCCAACCAGCCAAAGTGGAATGCTCTTGGTGACCCACCCAAGGCATTCAATGGAGACCCCCAGAGAGGTCAGGTCTTAGTGAGATTGAAGTATGTCTGGAGTGAAAGTTAAATGAAATCTGCCCTATCAGAGCTTAAAAGCAGGCCTACAGGGCATTAGAAAGACCTGCAAGTAACTTAACTGCTTTGCCAAAACAAAGCGTGATATTCCTAAAAGAAATAAAACAAGACACAGACACTCAACAAGGTAACATTCACAATACACAACATCTAATATAAAATTCCTTCACTATGTACAGAGAAGCCTTAAAAAAAAAATGTCCTAAACATGACAAGAAGGAGGAAAATGTGGCCCATAATCAGGAGGGGCAAAAAAATCAGAAAATAGTAAACTTCTGAGAAATGATGAGATAAGACATTAAACTTCTATTATAACTATGTTCAATATTAAAAGAATACACAGATATTCATAAGAAAAAAGGAAGTTTTTTTTAAGAATCCAGTGGAACTTACATATTTTAAGAAAACATAATTATCTGAAATGAAAATTTCACTGATTGAGATTAAGTGCAGGCTAGACATTGCAGAAGTAAAGAAAAAAATCAGGGAACTTAAACATATAGCAATAGAATTTATCCAAAATAAGCACAGAAGCACAGAAACAAAATAGGCTGAAAAAATAAATAAAAGGAATAGAGTCTCAGAGACCTGAAGGATAATATCCAGCAGTCTAACACACACAACACTGCAGGCCCGAAGGACAAGGGGAAGAAGGGCAAGGACAGAAAAAGATTAAGAAATGATGGCCAGAACACTTCCAAATTTGATAGAAACTATAAACCTACAGATCCAAGAAGCTGCATGCCCCAAGCAAGACACACACACAGAAAAGCATACTGAGGCACACCATAATCCAACTGTTAGGCCCAGACAAGAGCAGCCAGGGGAAGAGACATAGTACACAGAACAACAAACATAACAGCAGCAGCAGAATTCATCAGAAACCCTGCCAGCCAGAACACAATGGAAATGACAGCTTGAAAATGGTATTCACCTAGAAGTAACCTAGAATTCTATATCCAGTGAAAACATCTGTTAAGAATAAAGGCAAAATAAAAACTCAAACAGAAATTGTCATCAGCAGACCTGCACTTCAAGAAATGTAACAGGAAGATCTTCAGGCAAAAGGAAAAATGATACCAGTTGGAAACTTGGATTTACATAAAGAAATAAAGAGCAGTAGATACGGTAAATATATGAATATAAGACCTTCTTCTCATATTTTATTATTCTCCTGTTTTAATTCTTTCACACTACCATTTCTATAAAAGATGACTGACTGTTTAAAGCAAAAATATTTAGCTTTCATTCTTTTTATATTCTCATGTAATAGGCCAATAACCTGGGGGCCAGAGGAACCATAATTAGGATATATGTTGCCGTACTAGATGATACACACAAAACAATACGGGAAATAAGGCACAGGGAAGGCATGAAGAAAATGGAAGCAGTTCTGTTTCGGTCCTCAAAGAGCATATACTTTTCAAAGTTGATTATAACTTGTCTAAACTGCCTGAAGATGTCACACAACAGTGTATCACAAACCTTACCGAGAAGGCACGCCCTTCATCACCAACACCTGTATGAAATGTCTCCCAAAGAAGGGAAGGATGACGCCGGGCGCGGTGGCTCATGCCTGTAATCCCAGCACTTTGGGAGGCCGAGGCGGGCGGATCACGAGGTCAGGAGATCGAGACCATCCTGGCTAACACGGTGAAGCCCCGTCTCTACTAAAAATACAAAAAATTAGCCAGGCGTGGTGGCGGGTGCCTGTAGCCCCACCTACACGGGAAGCTGAGGGAGGAGAATGGCGTGAACCCAGGAGGCAGAGGTTGCAGTGAGTCAAGACAGCACCACTGCACTCCAGCCTGGGTGACAAAGCGAGACTCCGTCTCAAAAAAAATAAAAAAATAAAAAAAAATAAGAAGGGAAGGAGGAAAGGGCATACCAAGCAGCCAATGCAGGGCTTTTTAAACTGAACTTTAGGAGTTCTACCTGTCTTTTTACTTACCCTTTGGAAACAAATTTAACAAGCTTACTTAGCTGATTCCCTAAGCAGATTAGAAGCAACTAACTACAGGGATAGTGAGAAGGAGGACGTGCAAAGTAATGTTAATAAGTGAGCTGAAGGCCTAATAG